AAGTCAGATAAGATTTTCAGCTGCAGCATATATCAGATATGCTCTCTCTGTCTCTTGATCTCCCCTTTCTGTCAGCCTAGGTTGCTTTAGGTGAAGCAAAGACTGATAATTGGATTACCCCCGATGCAGTGTGAAGAAGTCTCTATGTCATTAAAGTTCACTTAGCTATGTCCTCCAAGATTGTTTTCCCATCCAGGCTTGGTCATAGACTCGACCTCGTACATCACAGCATTGGCAACCCTAACGGCAATCGAAACCAGCCCCATGAGCACAGATACCGGTGGGTAGTAAGGCATATTTAATTTTGAAGGCGGGTGATACCGGACTCATTCACATTTATGGAGGGATTGGTGATTAGGCAATGTGTATTTTTCATTAAAAACGGCAATATTACTAAACACGGAATGAGTATGCTTTAATATGAAACTGAGTCCCTTGCTTAATTTGAGAGGATGTGCGAACAGATCTCATTCTCTTAATCAGAGTTACATTCGAGCTTACGTAATCTCGTTCGTGCTTCTCCTTGGGTCATTAAACCTTGATTAGCCAAGCTTAAAGTAAAGCTATTTTTTAATTGCTTTCAGTTATGGCCGGTAATGTGTTCTCTCAAGTAAGCGCATACAGACATCGACACACGCTCGCACACACAGGCTAACACACTCAAGTATAAGTACCCTGATTCGGGAGAAAGGGACTAATCAGATCATTCTATATCTTGCTATATCTTTGTATTTTAGTTTTTATTATGAAGTATAGAGCCGAATATTTTTGTTAACTTGATGAAAGCTTGGATCTTGTGAAGGCATAAGTTCCGGCTATGACGGTGCTTGTCGTATGACGGACGAAAGTTCAGCCCATTTTGACCCGAAACGAGGGAGGTTGTCTGGCTGATTGCGTCAAACAGAGAGTCTTATTAAAACCAAAAGGCAGCAGAACATCGAGTAGCTGAGGTTGGCCCGCGAATCACTTCATCCTGCACTTGTATACGAAATGAAAGTCTTGACAACAAAGAAAAATAAAAGCACAATCTTTAAATATGTGAGTAGAGACGAGCTCTTAAATAAGCCTAAACACTGTATTTTCCTTGGCTCCACTGCGATCACGTGGAGAGGTCGGAATGTACCTCCGGATGAAGTTATCACGATCCATTTAGAGGATAGTTATTAAGGATGAAGGCCTTTAATCCAGATGAGGATAGAAATTGAATATGGGTCCTGTCTCACCTTTCGAATAACATCTTTCGGCAGATAAGTGTCCCCGGTTTGAACCCCTGCATCCCATGGATAGAGATCCAAGTCGAGTCGGTCTACCCAGGTACAGTCGACCTGACAGACTGACTGGCTCGAGACACCCGTGCACCAATCAGGGCTGGGACCCAGCATAGTCAGAAAACTGATCATCGGATGGGTGCGATTTACGCCCACTAGAAGGCTACGCGTTTCGTTGAGCGTCTCTTCACTCCACATTCCAGGCGCTGATATAAAACTGAGGAACAATTAATAAAATCGCATCTTATTCAACCTTTCGTTAGTGATAATGCTAATAATAATATAAATCAATCAATCATACATAATAAAATAAATAATAATAGGAAAAGTAGAAACAGCCAAGGGACTTAAGGCGCACTCTTGGATAGTTTATGGGAAACGCCTTTTTATGAAACTTATTTTAACCTTAAAATTTTCCCAGATTCTTGTAGCGAAATCAAATAATGACAGAAGCCATGACGCTTATTCCCTAATGTCTCTCCTTTCAAAATTTGAGATTATCCATTTTCAGTTGTGCTTTTGCAGAGAGAGGGAAGTTTTCGACTCACCAATATGTATGAAGAGAAGCTGAGTTTCGAAGAATCCCTTAATAGATTGATACTGACGTACCTTCTATTTCGTTTGAGAAGACGGGTCGAAGGGATTCGTAGATTGGCCACCCCGGATACTGCAGGAGAGTTGCCTTGGGCTCTTGTCTGCTGAACTGTGGGAAGAAAACCTCGGCTCACTGTCACATTACCCCGATGGCTCCGTGCTTAGCTTTCATCCGTCATGTGACAGGTCATCTTCAGAGCCAGAAGCCAGTGTTCAAGAAAAACTCACCATTTCCGGTTTAGTGTTTTTTGCTGATTTTTTCTTCAACACTGGCTTCTGGCTCTGACGATGTCACATGAGGGATGATAACTCAGCACGGACGTACACCAATATCCCCAATATGTATCCTTAAATAATATTTAGTTTAAGGCTGAAATTGAAACATGTGTTTGGAAAGATCAATTTTTTCGTAATCCAGACACTTATAACAGTAAAAACCACTTTATCAAAATAAGAGCTTTAGTCACCATAGGTCGCTTAGGGAGATGAAGGACGGGTAGTAAATATTCCCACAATGAGACATGTAGCCTTGCTCACAGAAAGTATTCTAACTATGGAGGACAAAAACTCTTATTCAAGATCCACTGATAGTCTTGAAGTCCTACTCAATACGCTTCCAAGCAACGTTGTCGACTGTAATGGCAAATACATACTTGCTTCAGCAACAATCCAATTAGAAAAATGTAAAAGTGCAGGAGCTTAGCTCTGTTTGTAATTCACGTTTACCTTATGACTGACTGGAACTCGGAGCACTGTGGTCTAGTAACAACATGCCAAAATTAATTTTTTTTTATTTACAAGTAGGCTTCTGAGATTACCAGTAGATCATATGTATGAGATGTATTCATCCTATTTCGTTAAGATTATGAGGACAATATGGGAAAATACCTGGCCAATCTTGAAATTCACATATTCCCTGTGACCCAAGGCCACTAGTGGCAGTCTGGTGTAATGGTTAATGCATCGAGATTATATTCGTTGCACTATGACAACCCAGGTTCGAGTCCCTCTGGGGGTGCTGATGAGTCCCAGACGAGGTTGAAACTGCAGTCCAGCCTTATGAGAATAACTTTTGGGAAAGCAAGGCTATGTGAAAGTCAATGGCAACGTCAGCTCTACTCATATCATTGTGTCTCGAAACTCTACTTACCTACCAAAAATAAATACTTCTCGAATTCCAAAATTATACTCTGCATTACCAAAGTGCTGGTTCGATTCCCCTCAGGGATGCTGATGCTACCCATAAGTGGTCAAACCTGTAGCCCTCTCTGAATGAGAAAGCGTCTTTGATGTAAGGTTAAGTGAAATTCAAATGTCTTGTAAGACCTAATCATATCATCGCGGAAATTTAACTATCAGTCCTTTATTGCCTTAACGACCTAGGCCAACCAAAGTTCTTATCCAAGTTTTGAGCTTACTTCAATTTCGAGTGAAAGTGTTTGGTGAAGAGATTCCAATGTCGATTCCACCAGAAGACGACAACGGATTCCTCTTGACCAGCTGTCAATTGGCTTTACTGGAAGATTCATTATGACGCTATTTCCGAGGTAATCGCCTTCGACTCTTGACTCGTTAGCCTGAATTTGGTTGTGACGATGATACCTTGTTCTGATGATATCCGTGATATGATGGACGAAAGCTTAGCACTTTTCACCGGAATCGAATGAGATTACCTCAGAAACAGCCTAACCATGAATGTTCCAGTAAGGCCATCTACAGCTGGTCAAGAGGAATCCGCCGTCGTCTTCTGGTAGAATCGACCTTCGAACCTTTCCACAAAACACTTTTACTCGAAATGGAAGTAAGCTCAACAATTATGAAACAAAAGATTCCTCGAAGCCAAATTTTTCTTGGCATATTCTTATCCAAGATCTACTGATAATCTCGAAATCCTACGAAATTCAAATAAAGGTTTATCAAGACAACTCTGGCTCTGGGCATAGTGTGAAGACTGACTTTGTGTGTAACAGAAGAGTGTACTCCATCCCCAGTTTTCGCTGACGTCTAGATGGCCTGTTTAGGATTAAGCTTTAACCTCCGATTAATTCGCTCTTCTGAATTTTATTACAAGAAATCTATTTATTCGGAAGAAACAGGTTTCAGATCAGTTAGAGCCCTAATGTTTTGACTCTAAGGGAGTTTCAATGCCATTATCACTCCGTCGAGAAGGGACAGGTCATGCCCATCGTCCGATTAGTTGTTTATAAATATTTCTTCAGCCCCAGCAACCACAATGGCAGTGATTAAGGTATGATAGTTTTATTTTTCCACATTGTAATGAATAGTGAAATGGGATGCCAGTGATGTTTATGGAGACACGCTTCCCAAAAGTTATTTTCATTCCTGCTCGAGTGGAGGGCAGTTTCAAATTCACTTAGGCCTCATCAGCCCCCCCATCGTGAATCGAACCCGGATTGTGGTAGCGCAGAGTTGAGTTTTGACATGATACCACTACGCCACACTATCACGGGTGCCAGTGACCCACAGGGAAAAATTATCTTTCAAGGCAAATCAGACCTATCCTATAACACACATTATAGCCAAATTGTCAATGATATAAGTTTGTAATATCCACTACGATGGACCAATTTACTTATATTCATAATAAGTAGGTTTCGGATGTATCATAGAACTTAAAAATTAATTTTAATCAGTAAGCAGAATAAGATCCAGACGAGATCAAAACTGTAAAATAGGGGGAGGGAAATTTAGAGGCATCATGATGCTTACTGATATAAGCATCAAAAATGTCATCTGTCAGTCCTTCCTCATATTATGTGATCTCAGTGACTTTACCACTTATTCAATACCTATTTATTATGAATATATGAATAGATATAGCCAGAGATTACCTGGAACACAGACCAATATCCAGGCGTTTCGCAAAAACAACATTCAGTTATGATTAATACCGCTGCAAAAATAGACGATTACTTCAAGAATATGCGTAACATTTCTACGCGTAATTCAGAAAATGAGCCTACTAATCTCTTCCTTATACATTTGTACGCTAAATTTAATTTAAGCAAATTTGAAATAAAATATATTTTTGGCCATGAGTTATATACCAGGAAGATTTTACCGGAGAGCTAAGTTACTTCATAGACTTTATGAAAATCCGAATGTGCTTTTATTTTGAAGAGTGGAAAACGTACACCTTCCACTTCTGTGATTTGCAAGCTCATCCATCACATTAATTATTAAATATTAATTCAATATTAATAAAGTAAAAAAAAATAATGAAGATACACGAGTTTTATTTATTTTTATCTCTTACTTACGAATAGT